TTGGCTGCCTCCTGCACATCCCCTACTGGGAATAGAGCCTACAACCCGGGCATGTGCCCTGACTGGGAATCAAACCTTTTGGAGCATGGAATGATCCTTAACCAACTAACTGAGCCACAACTGCCAGGGTATACCTAATTTTTAAATAGCTATTGAATTTTTGTAAAAATTGACTACATATTAGGCTACAGAAAATACCTCAACAAATTCTAAAATTTGAAATTACAAAACACATTCTGAATAACAACACAATAAAATGAGAAATTTGTAACAAAATCAGAAAATAAAGAGATCTTCAATCTGAAAATTTAAAAAGTCTCTCAAAAAACATTTAGATAATTGGGCAAATACAAATAAAATCTGTGGTGTTTGGAATAAAGCTAAAACAGTGACCAGAAGAAAATTTATTATTTTACATACTTTTATCAATAAGAAAAAAATGAATGTAAGTGAGTTACTAATATAGCTCTAAAAATTACAAAAACAACTAAATTAACTGAAGTAAAATAGAGGGAAAAAATATAGAGTTAAAAGTAGAAATTAAGAATGTTAAAAAAAAAAGCCAAAAAACTGAAAAAAAGTTTCCAAAGTTCTTGCTGGTGGGGGGAAAAATCAACTGATTAAAACTACTCCTTCTCCTAATCAAGAGTAAAATTAAGGACAAAGTACAAATATACAAAATAAGAAATGGGGGTAAACAACAGAAATAGACAAAATTTCAAAAAATAGGAAATTAATTTATAAAACTCTATACAAATAAATATAGATAAGATAATTTTCTAGTAAGATATAACTTACCAAAACAGAACCAAAAGCCTACACAGACTGATTTTCATAAAATAAATGGAAGAAATTTTAAAAGAGCTACCTACCAAACAAAGCAAAACATATAGGCCATAAGAGTATACAGGGGATTTCTACCAAATCTTTAAAGAGCTGTTAACTTCAATACTATTTAAAAACTGTTGTACATTTTAAAAAATGAAAAAGGTCCAAATTCTTTATAAAATATAACAATAGCAAAACTTGAAAAAGACTACACAAAAAAAGAGAAGATCCATCTTTACAATTTTGCATTTTAATTAAAAAGATAAAGTATTAATAAACAGAATTCAGCATCACATTAAAAGAATCCAGAAACATTAGTTTGGTTCAATGCTTCTTTAAAATAAGAGAAACACCATATCATCAGCTCCATTAGTGCTAAAATGACATCTGAGAAAATTCAATATCCATTCCTGATTAAAAGTACTTAATAGGAAGCAACAGATCCTCCTATACATACATACATGTATGCATTATACTTAATGCAGAAACTTTGGAAGTATTCTTTCTAAAGTCAGGAATAAAAAGAGGATGCCCACTAATCACTAATGTTTAAATTGTCCTGTCTAAATATTTAGTCAGTGTAACCTGAAGGAGAAGTATAAAAATCCAAAGGAAGAGGTAAACCTATCACTATCAGCAGATAAAATGATTATAACCTAGAAACTAGGAAAGTCACTTAAAAAACTACTATAAACAATAATGGAATTCAATAAGGCAGAGAGAAATGTCAGTATATAGAACTTAAAAGCCTTCATGTATATAAACAATAACCAGTTAGAATCTATAAACTCATTTAGTAGCAAAAATAAGGGGGTAAATGTCCAGAAATAACAAGAAATGTACAAATTTTATGTGAGAAAAACTTTAATACATTCCTGAAGAAAACAAAAGTAATCTTGAACAAATGCAATAACATACCATTTCATTTGACAGAAAGTTTCAATATTTAAAAAAAACCCAATATGTCCTAACTTAATTTATAAATATGAGATCTCAGTAAAAATAATACCCCATCCTCCACATCTATTGGATCTAGACAAGGTGTTTCTAAAGCTTATATGGTAATAAATAAAAATGGCCTAGAAAAACCTGAAAAAAAATGAGACTAGTGCTATTAGATATTAAAAGTCATAAAAGAAATTATTGATCACTACTTTTAAGCGTTTGTGTGTATAGACAGACACACACACACACACACACACACACACACACATACACACACGCGCGCGCCCGCACGGATAAATTTCTATGTGGCAAAAAGCAAAAAAACCCAAGACAAAGGCCAAAAGACAAGTAACAATGAAGAGATATCATCTGTAATTCACATCTCAATTGAGAAAGCTCAGTAAATGAGGAGACCAAACATCCAATAGAAAAAAAAGGGCGAAGGATACAAACAGTTAACAGAAAAAGAAAGGTGGCCCTTACATATGTGAAAATGTTCAAATGGAAAACAAAAGCACATAGTGAAACTATTTCTTGTAAATCTGATTGACAAAAATCTAGTTTGACACCTGTAGAGGCAAAGGCGTAAGGAAATAGGTAGTCTCAATCACTGATGCAAAGTAAGTATTTACAATCTTGGTAGAGGGCAATCTGGCGATAACAATAAAAATTACAAATACATTTGCCCTTGACTCATCAATCTCACTCCTGGAATCTATCTTAAAAAAAACACCTATATATATATTTGAAATGATGTTCTGAAATGGCATATAATTAAAGGGGACTCTTGAAATATATCCCCTCAATGACATATCTCCATAATGGCAGATGCAGCTGAAAATAATGAGGAAACTATGTACTGATCTAGAAAGAACCAGGGATCCTTGGAGGAATGGCTGATTCTAGGTACAGGGTAAGAAATATAATATGAGCCTGGAACATCCTGCTGTGCCAGAAAGCTATCAAAGACTAATGAATTAGCAATAGGACATTATGATTTTCCACATAAGAATTCCATCTAGCCCTAACCGGTTTGGCTCAGTGGATAGAGCATCAGCCTGCGGACTCAAAGGTCCCAGGTTCGATTCCAGTCAAGGGCATGTACCTTGGTTGCGGGCACATCCCCAGTGGGGAGTGTGCAGGAGGCAGCTGATCGATGTTTCTCTGATCGATGTTTCTGGCTCTCTATCCCTCTCCCTTCCTCTCTGTAAAAAAAAACCAATAAAATACATTAAAAAAAAAAAGAATTCCATCTAATACAAAAGGAATAACAGAATTAGAAAAAATATCAGTTGATAGTGCCTAGTGAAATAAATAGTTCAGGTAACAATGATCAATGAATGGAATATTAGAAATTGAAAGGCGGATTGGGAAATTTTAATGGAGAGATCAGGCCTATTGTATTATTAAAAAACTGGGACCACTAAATACTGATACAATATAAAGCACTTATAAATTTATAAAGTATTTTGAACCAGAATTGAATCAAGCCTCAAGGGCCAACTTTCATTTTAAGGAAATATAGGGAACAGAGGAACAAAATAATCACACCACAAGTAAACAAAAGACAAATCCAGGTTTCTGGATATTCTACAGGACACCTGACAACAAGACAATAGCAAACAAAAAAAAACAAAAACAAACAAACAAACAAAAGATGGGGGAAAAAACAACTAAAAAACAAACAAACAACAGACAAAATAAAACAAGAGGGAAGGAAACGGGACTACTACATTTTAAAAAGGCATAGAAAAAACATCGATGAGAGAGAATCATTGATCGGCTGCCTCCTGCACGCCCCTTACTGGGGATCCGGACCGCAACTTGGGCATGTGCCCTTGACTGGAATCGAACCACCACCTCCTGGTTCATAGGTCCACGCTCAACCACTGAGCCATGCCGGCCAGGTTAGAAACTATATTTAATAATGAAAAACTGAAATATTGAGAAGATGGATAAAAAACAGCTTAGTCGCCCTAGCTGGTTTGGCTCGGTGGATAGAGCACCAGCCTGTAGACTGAAGAGTCTTGGGCTCAATTCAGCCCGGGTTGCAGGCTGGATCCGCAGTGTGGGGCGTGCAGGAAGGAGGCAGCTGATCAGTGATTCTTTCTCATCATTGATGTTTCTATCTCTTTCTCTCTCTCACCTTCCTCTCTGAAATCAATAAAAATATATTTTAAAATAAATAAAATAAAATAAATAGATAAAATAGGCATAAAGCCTAATGTAATGTGTGAATCTTATTTGGATTCTGATTAGAACCAATAACTATAAAAATATATTTGAAACAATCAGGGAGATCTGAGTTTAGACAGGGTATTAGAGGCTACAAATAAATTATTATTTTCAATTTTCTTATATATGATAACGGCATTGTGACTGAGTAAGAAAACATCCATGTTTTTAGAGATACATACTGAATTAGTAGGGACAAAATAATATTCTGTCTGGGATTTTACTTAAAGACACTACAGTAAAGGAAGAAATGGAGATAGTTTAAGCAAAGGTAGAAAAATACTGACAATTTGGATAATGACTACATAGGTGGCAGTTTCTCATACTATTCTCTCTTCTTTTTTATAAGTTCAAAAATAAAAAAAACACCTAAATATTAATGCAAGTAGCACCACATTAAGCATCAGTAGTAGGTATAATGCCAGGGGTGACCATGACTAATAGACTTCTCTTCCTGTAAAATATGTATTTTGTAATTAAATATTGACTTAGATTTAAAAGGACAAAAGTGATTTATAATAGAAGATTGCTCAGATGATCATGTCAAAGCTTTTAACCCCTAGAGTGCCGGGGAGCGCGATCGCGCTCCTCCTGTCTTTCGCCAAAAGTGCTGGGAGAGCTATCGCTATTGCGCTCCTCCTGCAGTGTCACTATTAGATGCTAGTAGTTCACTCTTTATGTGGGAAAAAAAAATTACAAATCTTAACTCAAAATGCCTTGGCAATTTTAGCATAGTTCCTAGGATATTGGTTGGCACTCAAAGGGTTAAATTTACTTTAGTAGCAAACCAGGACAAGTTCTGTGTAAAGGCTTTCTGAATGAAATGTAATATAAATATAAAGATTTTCTATTTTGTCTTAATATTAGTCCAAATATTACTTCAAGACATAGTACATATAATTATACATAAAATGCACATATGCACATTAAACACACAAGCAGGCCATACAGAAATCAATTATCCAATACAGAATATGGTTTTATTCCCTTACCATCAATATTAAGCATCATTTTCCACATGGCAGGACGAACAGACTGATGGAATCCAAACCATACCTCCCTGCCCCCTCCCAGAGGGTGGTCATATCCTTCTGGAGCCGAGAAAAATGAACGCCCCACAGGTGTATATCTACAAAAATTAAAATGGCATGTTCAATCCTTTCCTTCCTATATAAGTATTTAAATATGCAGAACAGGTGAGTCTAGAGCACATAAATTATCATGCTTATCATTAAGGATATATGAAACTAAACATTTTCCAAATTTGTAAAAGCAAAAAGCAGCTATTTTAATGGGAAAAAAAATCTGTATCCTTCACTGCAACCCTATATTGTTACAACTAATGTTAGTATGAATAAGAACAAATTTTATTTAAAATACTTTCTTAAAAATAAATTTTAAAAAGTTAACAGCTCCAATCTTAGAAAATGCTAAATAATTACTGATCAAAAAGCTATTTCTATAAACATGTTTGTAAGACATAATATTTTTCTTTAAAAAGACACAGCCTGCCCTAGCCGGTGTGGCTCAGTGGATAGAGCGTTGGCCTATGGACTGAAGAGCCCTGGGTTTGATTCTGATCAAGCGCACATGCCTGGGTTGTGGGCTCAATCCCCAGTAAGGGGCGTGCAGGAGGCAGCCTATCATAGATTCTCTCTCATTGATGTTTCTATCTCTCTCTCTCTCTTCCTCTCTGAAATCAATAAAAATAAAAAAACATTAAAAAAAAGACACAGCCTATCTGATCCTATATAAGCACAGACACACACATACACATGTGAGATGCTAGTGTGATTAAAACAACAGCAATTTCAACACAATTTGATACTATTGTATCAACAATGAAATTACCTTTAAAATAAGGTGATTTAACTATAGCCTTATATCTGAAAACACATCAGTTGCTCAAGATTTAAAGCCTTTAGGAGAAAGGGTTAGACATTTTTCTAAAAAAATATCCATTAGAATAGCTAAACTAATAAGGTGCATTTATTTTCAAACATCAGAGAATTTTCTGTAACTTACATCTATCAATGAACTTGTATGCATGCTATTCTTTTTAAAAAAATATATCTTTTTATTGATTTCAGAGAGGAAGGAAGAGGGAGAGATAGAAACATCAATGATGAGAGAAAATCATTGATCAGCTGCCTCCTGCATGCCCCCTACTGGGGATCAAGCCCACAACCCAGGCATGTGCCCTTAACCAGAATCGAACTCAGGATCCTTTGGTCCGGCCGACACTCTATCCACTGAGCCAAACCAGGTAGGGCTGCATGCTATTCTTCAACTGAAATATTCAAAATATACAACATCTGAAGATTAACCAAAGGAGGCCTGCACAACTCTTGGGAGGAAAGCCTTCATACTTAAAATCTAAAGATGAAAAAAAGCCAGAAGCACCCACTTCATGGAGGGCAGATGTCGTAGCACCACATCAACGGCATGGACAGGATTAGTGCTGATTGGCTTGTCTAATTCCAGTGGCTCAGGCAAGGTCCGTCCTGTCAGTACTTCATGTAGTAGGTGCCAACTCACCCGAGAGACAAACTTGATTGACACCTTGAAAGGTCGATCTTTTCCACCTTCCCCAGGGAGAGTAACATCTAAATCTACCTGTTAGTGAGAAAAGAGTCATCTGGTAAAAGTTGAAAAAGATAAATACAATTATTTTTAAGTTTAACTTACACAAATATTTAAGAGAAAACAAGGCAAATATAAAAAAAACACACCAATCTCAATGTTAAAAAAAAGTAGATTAACATTTAAATGACAGTTATTTATGCCAGCATTGTCATTAAAAAATACTGAAAACTGCCTAAATGCTATTAAAGAAAAAAGATGAAGAATATCTCTTGGAATTGTTATGGAATAATTTCCAAGCTATACTACTAAGTGAAAAAAAAAAAAAAAAGGCAAAGTACAGAAGATTACAAATAGTATGCCATCTTTTATGTGAGAAAAAGGGGAAAATGGAAAAATCTTTTTGTATTTGCTTATTTATGCAAAAAGAAACACAGGAAGCATAAACCAGAAACAAAGAAATTGGTTACTCTAAAAGGATGGAAAGAAACAAACTGGGAGAAATAAGAGGGATTAACAATTCAGAGTGTATTTTCCAGTATGTTCTAACTTTTGGAAACATGTTAAATAAAATTCTATACATTAAAAATTAAAAATTAAATCAATAAGGCTGGAGGGAAAAACTAAACTAAATATAAACAAAACCAAATGAAACCAAATGCACTTCAAATGAATAATATAGCCATACCAAAAGAAGAAAAAAACAAGAACGAAAACATTAATGCAAGTAACTCTTGAATACATTATACTGACTATACCAGTGATGGTGAACCTATGACAGGCGTATCAGAGGTGACACGCGAACTCATTTTGGGTGACACGCATTGACAGAGACAAAAAATTGCATAATTCAAATATTTGTCTCTCGCAACGGCCAGAGTTGGGTATCACTCGAGTAATATTACTACTCACGTTACTCATGATCAATAATGCAATTCTAAAACCGGATGTAAACATGTACATCGGTGTTGCATAGCAAAGATACATAGTGAAAACATCCAGACACATTGTTCCAATATTGACATTAATATAAAAAGGTTAAGAATTGCACTATAAAGAGATTAATTTTTACTCATGACATTTTATTTTTACTCGAGTGACAAAATGCCCAATTCTGGAAACGGCCTCTTATTGTCAACATGTGCCTCGGGTAAGCTTCCCGGGCGTTCGGGTGCATTCGGCAAACGGACACACTTGATCGCCATGTTCGTTAGGAGACAGGAGTGGGAGGGTTAGAAGAAAAAGATATACAGTGCAACAGTGCTCGACGAGACATTCTGCGTGTCGGATAATTGATTACAGCACCATATATTTGTTGGTTATACATACTATCTTTGAATTGTTTTGCACCAGGAGTCAGTGCAACAACACTGCAAAAAGTTAATAGGTAAGAAACCTATCAACCTTTTAATAAAAACACCGTGATTTATATTTATTGATTTTTGCAGCCTTGTGATGGAGAATCAAAAAAATAAAAAAGCAAGATTGAATGATAAAGGAAGTGGAAGTAGCAGTAGCGGACGGACCCTTTCAAGGCATATGGACCGAGATGTACGGGATTGTCGACAGAAACAACAGATCGTTGTGCATACTGTGTAATTAAATGGTAGTAAGCAGAACGAGGAATGTAAAGAGACATTTTGAAACTAATCATTGTCAGCTCTTGAAAAAAAGTATCAATGAAAGGAAGGAATACATTTCTAGGCAGCTACACCTCTATAAAAGTCAATCAAATTCCATCATTAAATTTGTAAGATGCTCTACAAATTTAACATCAGCAAGTTACTGTATTGCTCACTCCATAGCTCAGCATGGAAAAGCCCTCAGTGATAGAGAATTTATTAAGGAAACATTTCTAAGATGTGCACCAGCTCTACTTCATGATATGAAAATTAAGATGATATTATTAAAAGAATTTCTGAGTTACCACTAAGTAGAAATACTATCAAAGACAGAATAATAGATCTTAACAAAAACGTACAACATCAATTAAAAAAAGACTTAAATAGTTGTAAATATTTTTTTATTTCTCTTGATGAAACTACTGATGTCACATCAAATGCTCGGTTGGCCATTATTGCTAGATATTCTGATGGTCTCACAATGAGAGAAGAGTTGATAAAGTTAGAATCAGTGCCAATAAGTACATCAGGAAACAAAATATGTAAGGTTGTTATAAAAACATTCAGTGACCTAAACATTGATATCTCTAAAATTGTGTCAGTCACGACAGATGGGGCACCAAGTATGGTGGGAAAAAATGTGGGATTCCTGAAATTGTTTATGGAAGCTATTAGACATCCACTTGTACCTTTTCATTGCATTATCCATCAGGAGGTGTTGTGCGCCAAATTGGGATTCTCAGAATTGAATGATTTAATGTCAGTTGTAACAAAAATTGTGAGTTTTATAACTTCTCGACCCCTTCACAAGTGAGAATTTTCTGCACTTTTACAGGAAGTTGATTCAACCTACAGTGGACTACTGATGTTCAATAATGTGAGATGGCTGAGTCGAGGTAAAGTACTTGAGCGATTTGTGGAGTGCTTTGAAGAAATTACGGTATTTATTGAGAATAAGGATCTGGCAAACTTTCCTCAGATCAATGATCATAAGTG